TTTGTCCCTTGTCTTGTTTATATGTGTGTGATTTTGGGAAACTTCTTTCTTGTAAGGGCATGTAGGTTGAAAAAGTGGTGATTTTGAAAATTCCTAATTGAGTCAAGTGAGCATGTGAAAGAGTTAATGAGTTGAGTCATTTCTTGAGTTTGAGTTGTTGTCACTTAAACGATTCTTGGTTTTTGAAAATGTTTCATGAGAGTGAGGATTTATTTTGTGAAAAGTTTGCATGTGTACTATTTGTTAGTACCAACCGAAGTTATTACCTTTGTGCTTAATTGAGAGAGGGAAATTGATTTGTGGTGTGTCTTGAAATATGAGCTTCTTGCGTTTTTTATTTTCTTTCCTTGAGGACAAACATAGTTTCTAAGTTGGGGGTGTTGATGAGTGGGATTTCCACTCATTTGAGGCTCTTTTCGTAGTTATTTTGGCTTGCTTTAGCTTAGACTTGGTGCTTTTAATGTGGTTTTTTTCAGATTAACACGAAAAAGAAATGGAGAGTTGATTTAGGATATTTGAAGAAAGTAAATAAACTTGAGGCTAAAAGAGGTCAAGAGCTGAAAATACAATTTTTGGTAAGGAAAGTATCCTTCGCGAACGGGTTTGAATAAACTAAGTGAACTGTATCAGCCTGTTTGGATGGCTTCATTTAGGGGAAGAAGTTTGCTAAACCTGCACTCAAATCATGCATTGAGGAGAAAAGTTGAATAAATTCGACATTGAGAGGAAGGAACAAGAACTTACCGCCAAAATGCCCAAAGCCATCAACAAAAAGTGGAGAACTTGGAGAGCATCACGGTGACTGAAAAAAGAAGAAGAGGAAATCGATGAATATGAAATTACTTAAGGTTGTTTTCTCCAAGTCTATTGTCTGTTCATTCTTTTATTACTCTTAAATGTTTTATTTACAAGGTTCTCATTTTGAAAAAAAATACGGCAGAGGGAACTAGAACTTCATGCTTGTCTCTTTAATTTATACGGGGTCATTTATGCTTTTATTTAGCCAAAGAATTTAAAAACAATGTAGAGGAGGTAGTAGCTGTTAACAAGACATTAGTAAGTTATATAAATAGTTGATCCTTCACTACAACTTTTCTTTAAAAAATCCATATAAAATTTGAATGATGGGTTTTTTTGGAATTGTACATTTAAGAGTAGATAGTGATAAAAAAAATCTCTAAAGTCATTTTGGCGAGAGTGCAGGAGATATATAAAGAGGCTTGTGGCGAAATCGATTGATAAAACTTTCTAAGTCAATGTGCAAACTGTATTAGACAAAATAAGTGAAGCCAACATGATGCAGGATTGTTGTATCTATTCTGTTTCTTATGATGTATAATGGAAAGGAGTGGGCTTTAGTGCCTGATTTGGTTATCTTGAATTTTCAGTAACTTCGTTTTCTTAGTCAAGCAACACATTTTAAAGTCACGAATCCATCAATGGAAGTGCAAACATAATGTTCACATTCGGAACCAGGATGTGCTGAGTCCGACTAGAGGTTCCTTGCAACATCCTACATCCTGTTTTGAGGAGCAGGATATGTTCGATCTTGTGTATTCTTTAGTGAAGGAGTTTGCTTGCCTTATTCCTGGCTGTAAGGTTATTCTTGTGGAGTCACTTAGGCGTCGTGTTAAGAGTTAGCATCTAAGGTAAGTTTTCTCCCCTCTTTTCTACTCAATCTTGGGTAAGTATATTTGAAATGGTCTCGTTGACATGTGTTAATCAGTGCTTGAATTGTTGGGCTGTTTCTGTTTGTGTGGGGATTAATTAAGTTGATGGCTAGATAGTTCATGAGTTTTAGTTGAGATTGGGGGAACAACTTGAGTGAAAATTGTTCCTAAAAAAGCTGCCCCCAACATGTTTGATGAAATGCCCCAACCAGATTTTGAATTCAGGAGAAGATGACTCTGTGAACGCACCAAATAGTTAGCAAAAGACTAGCTTCAATTTATTGATTTTATTGGTGAGGAGATTGTTGTCGGGGATGTCATATATGTCGGTTCTGACCGGCTTCTGTCGCAGGTTGTTTCAAAAGCCGGGATTGGGTTAGGTTGGTATCTCTTTAATTGATGTAACTTTGTTTCAATTAGCTTACTAGAATCTTGATTGTCATCTTATTTGTACAGGCGAGTAGATAGCTATTACGGTTTTAGTTGGTTTTAAGTGCGAGATTTTTATTTAATTTGTTAAAATCATGAGTTTGAGGTTAATTTTGTTCCATATGTCTTCATTCTTGCTACTTTGTTTTTCTTCTCTTTTATAAGGGCTTCTTCATTTGCATGTCTTTCCTTTTTATCTTACCAGGCCAAATATGTGACTTTCTGTAAGTTTACCTTTTTTTAATAGGATGTTGCTACTGTTCAACTCTGTTTGTACTTAAATAGAAATTATAGAATTATCTCATCGACTATAAACCATTAACATGGAAGTTTTTGATTATTCTTCAAATGCACATAGGATTCATTGGAATTTACTGGGATAAATGAGCGAGGACTTCTAGGGAATGACTTGCTCTATGTATATTTTGGTATCTCATACTGAGAAATAGTAAGAAATGAACTCTAACGTTTATCTTAATGTATTATCCTGATTGTTGAAACTCCCGGTACAATTTGATGTATTTTCATAGTAATCTTTGAATTTTGCAGGTTTATTAGCTTTTGGCTATCAACAACTCTCATGCAAATATGCAACTAACCACTAATTCCAGCTTGACATGTATGTCTCTTCTTCTACTCAAGTTTCATTAAGGTGAATATATATGATCAATAAAATAACAATATATTGTGTTCTTGTGCTATCTTTCTTCCCTGCTTCATACAAAAAAAATTAATGCATTCCCTACTTTATGTAAAAATGGAATTGTATTGTATCTTTCTTCTTTTGGTGTAAACAAAGAAATATAGAAGAGTTAGAGCTTGTAGATCTTTAAGGCTCTCTGTAAGTAGTTTCTCCCTTTCTCTCTTTTTTTGTTTGTTTTGTTCCCCTTTTGAATGTCTCCAGCATATCATTAATGCTGAGGAATACAACATTACCAGTTTCAAAAAATAAAACTTGAACAATGCTTAATCTTTTTAAGTCTTAAATTACCCACTTAAACAGCAGCGAACCCAACGACCTCTAAGCCCAGCCGCGTCGTCCTCGTAGAAGATCGTTTCGAGAATCATCCAAGTGTCCAAATCATATGACCCTCCTTTCAATTCTGTTGAGATTTAGTATGAAATCGAGTCAGCACAACAGTTTAAATTTCTAATTTAAAATACCTCAAAACCTTATCCGTTCCCCCCCCCTTTCGATTCCATTCTTTTCCTATATATACTTCCCTTCCTTCATCGTTTTGGAGAGGTTTTTTGGACACTAATTTACTACCCAAAACAGAGCGAATTTCCATTGAAAGAAAGAGGTTGGTTAGAGAAGAAACAGGAACTGAAATTTACAAAAAAAAGATACAGGCAACAGAAAAGAAATTTAAAGAAAATAGTGTTCCTATAGCTAGGAGGTTTGAGTCTTTTGTTGCTGAATTAGAGCTCTTGTCAGAATTGCTCTTGTGGTGGAGTATCATTGCCTTATTCCTGGCTATAAGCTCAATCTTGTGGAGTCACTTAGGTGTCGTGTTAAGAGTTAGTATCTAAGGAAAGTCATCTCCCCTCCTTTCTACTCAATCTTGGGTAAGTACTTTTGAAATGGCCTCGTTGATATGTGTTAATTAGTGCTTAAATAGTTGGACTCTTTTTGTTTGTGTGCGGATTAATATAGTTGAGGGATAATATAGTTCATGAGTTTTGGTGGAGATTGGGGGCACAACTTGTGTGAAAATTGTGCCTAAAACGGCTGTCCCCAACATGTTTGATGAAGTGCCCCAACCGGATTTTGAATTCAGGAGAAGATGACACCGCGAACGCTCCATCTTGACCGCGAACTCGGAGGAATCTGATCCCAGATTCTCCGCAAACGCGCCCAATAGTTAGTGAACTAGTTGAATTTAGCAAAAGATAGTTAGCAAAAGAATAGCTTCAATTTGTTGATTTTGTAGGTGAGGAGATAGTTGCCGGGGATGTCATATATGGCGGTTCTGACTGGCTGCTATCACAAGTTGTTCCAAAAGCTGGGATTGGGTGAAGTTGGTGTGTCTTTTATCGATGTAACTTTGTTTTCAATTAGGTTACTAGAATCTTGATTGTCATCTTATTTGTACAGGCTAGTGGATAGCTATTACTGTTTTAGTTGGTTTTAAGTACGAGATTTTTATTCAATTTGTTAAAATCATGAGTTTGAAGTTTAATTTTGTCCCATATGTCTTCAATCTTGCTATTTCATTTTTCTTCCATTATATAATGGCTTTTTCATATGCATGTCCTTCCTTTTTATCTTAACAGGCCAAATATGTGACTCACTGTAAGTTTACCTTTTTGTTTAATAGGATGTTGCTACTGTTCAACTTTGTTTGTACTTTAATAGAAATTATAGAATTATCTTATCGACGATATACCCTTAACATGGAAGTTTTTCATTATTCTTCAAATGCACATAGGATTCATTGAAATTTACTGGGATAAATGAGCGGGGACTTCTAGGGAACGACTTGCTCTATGGATATATTGGTATCTCATATTGAAAATACTAAGAAATGAACTCTAACGTTTATCTTAATATATTCTCCTGATTGTTGAAACTCCCGGCACAATTTGATGTATCTTCATAGTAATCTTTGATTTTTGCAGGTTTATTAGCTTTTGGCTATCCACAACTCTCATGCAAATATGCAACTAACCACTAATTCCAGCTTGACATGTATGTCTCTTCTTCTACTCAAGTTTCATTAAGGTGAATATATATGATCAATAAAATAACAATATATTGTGTTCTTGTGCTATCTTTCTTCCCTGCTTCATATAAAAAAAATTAATGCATTCCTGCTTTTATGTAAAAATGGAATTGTATTATATCTTTATTCTTTTGGTGTAAACAAAGAATATGGAGGAATTAGAGCTTGTAGATCTATTAGGCTCTCTATAAGTAGTTTCTCCTTTTCTCTCTTTTTTTGTTTGTTTTGTTCCCCTTTTGAATGTCTCCGGCATATCATTAATGCTGAGGAATACAACATTACCAGTTTCAAAAAAATAAAACTTGAACAATGCTTAATCTTTTTAAGTCTTAAATTACCCACTTAAACACCAGCGAACCCAATGACTTCTAAGCCCAGCCTTGTCGTCCTCGTAGAAGATCGTTTCGAGAATCATCCAAGTGTCCAAATCATATGACCCTCCTTTCAATTCTGTGGAGAATTGGTACGAAATCGAGCCAGCACAAGAGTTTGAATTTTGAATTTGAAGTACCTCGAATTCTTATCCGTCCCCCCCCCCCCCCCCCCCCCCCCCCCCCCTTTCAATTCCATTCTCTTAATATATGTATTTTCCCTTCCTTCAGCATTTTGGAGAGGTTTTTGGCACACTAATTTACTACCCAAAACAGAGGGGATTCCCATCCAAAGAAAGTGGTTGGAGAGACAAGATACAGGAACATAAATTTACAAAAAAATAAACAGGCAACACAGAAGAAAATAGTAGTCCTATGGCTAGGAGGTTTGAGTCTTTTGTTGCTGGATTCGAGCTTTTGTCAGAAATCCACTTGTGGTGGAGGAATAGCTCGATTCAACTCATCATCCCAGCTTCGCTGTGGTCCACAAAAGGTTTGATCCCTCTCCTAAGCTTGACTTGTTTCACTTTGTTTTGTTTAGTCGATTTAGTTGATTTACAGACTGATTTAGGTATTATTTACTTTGATAAATTGCATTTGTTGTCTGATTGTGTAGTTTCTTTGTGTTGTTATTGGCTATAGGTAGTTGGGTGACCTCTAGAGATTTCGGCCTTCTTCTTGTTTATATTTTGGTTTCATCTAAATTAGTCATTGCCTATCTATGGTGTTGGGAAGCAATGCTTGGGTTTGTTTGGGTTTAGCACCTCATAAATAATATGTTGGCTTCCTTTTATCATTCGTTTGGTGTAGAATTCCAATTTAGCTTGACAAAGTTTGATTATATTGGCCTAAGATGTGCCCTTTGTTTAGCTCATGGTTGCTGCATATGCCCTTTAATTTGCTTGTTTCTTAAGCTCATGGGCTGTTTAAGTTCCCTTATCGTATCTTTTTAAGTGTCAGTGGATGTCTCAACTATAGTTCATAGTGGTTTCAGCAAAATGAAATGAAATTTTGAAAATAAAATTTGCGACAATGTTATGTTGGCCCCGTGCATAGCACGGGCTTCCCTTCTAGTATCTATAGAGGATGAAACAAAGTATCAAAACAATGTTGCTTTTTGAATACCACATCTTATAGCAAACCTTAAGAATGAGCAATGCATAAAGAGATGGAAGCATAGGCAATCTGCCTTGAAAACTAGGGCAATCAAGGATAGGGGAAAACTAAACTACCAATAAGAAGCATAGGCAAAATAACCTAGACATGGAGCCTCTTACTCTAAATCTGACAGAAAATTCCTAATTGAGTCAAGTGAACATGTGAAAGAGTTAATGAGTTGAGTCATTTGTTGAGTTTGTGTTGTTGTCACTTAAATGATTCTTGGATTTTTAAAATGTTTCATGAGAATGTGAGGATTTCTTGTGTGAAATGTTTGCATGTGGACTATTTGTTAGTACCTACCGAAGCCATTACCTTTGTGCTTAGTTGAGAAAGGGAAATTGATTTGTGGTGTGCCTTGAAATAAGAGCTTGTTGTGTTTTTTATTTTCTTTACTCGAGGACAAACAAAGCTTCTAAGTTGGAGGGGTGGATTTCCACTTATTTGAGGCTCTTTTCGTAGTTATTTTGGCTTGCTTTAGTTTAGAATTGGTGCTTTTAGTGTGGTTTTTTCCAGATTTGCACGAAAATGTAATGGAGAGTTGATTTAGGATATTTGAAGAAAGCAAGTGAACTTGAGGCAAAAAGAGGTCAAGAGCTGAAAATGCAATTTCTGGCAAGAAAAGTACCCTTTATCGAACGGGCTTGAATAAACTAAGTGAACTGTATCTGCCTGTTTGAATGTCTTCATTTAGGGGAAGAAGTTTGCTAAACCTGAACTCAAATCATGCATTGAGGAGTTTGAAGAAAAGTTGAATAAATTCGACATTGAGAGGAAGGAACAAGAACTTACAGCCAGAAAACTCTCAAAGCCATCAACAGAAAGTGGAGAACTTGGAGAGCATCACGGTGACTAAAAAAGAAGAAGAGGAAATCGATGAATCTGAAATTACTCAAGGTTGTTTTCTCTAAGTCTATTGCCTGTTCATTCTTTTAAAACTCTTTCATGTTTTATTTATAAGGTTCTCATTTTGAAAAAAATACGGCAGAGGGAACTAGAGCTTCATGCTTGTCTCTTTAATTTATACGGGTCATTTATGCTTTTATTTAGCCAAAGAATTTAAAAACAATGTAGAGGACGTAGTAGCTGTTAACTTGGATTTTTTTTTTATTATTCTTCAAATGCACATAGGATTCATTGGAATTTACCGGGATAAATGAGCGAGAATTTCTAGAGAACGACTTGCTCTATGGATATGTTGGTATCTCATATTGAGAAGTAGTGAGAAATGAACTCTAATGTTTATCTTAATTTAAGTATTCTGCTGATTGTTGAAACTCCTTGCACAATTTGATATATCTTCATAGTAATTTTTTATATTTGCAGATAAAGCTTTTGGCTATCAACAATTCTCATGCAAATATGCAACTAACCACTAATTCCAGCTTGATATGTATGTCTCTTCTTCTACTCGAGTTTCAACAAAGCTGAATATATATGAACAATAACATAGCAATATATCGTGTTCTTTTGCTATCTTTCTTCCCTGCTTCATACAAAAAAATTAATGCAATCCCTGCTTTTATGTAAAAATGGAATTGTATTATATCTTTATTCTTTTGGTGTAAACAAAGAAATATGGAGGAATTAGAGCTTGTAGATCTATTAGGCTCTCTATAAGTAGTTTCTCCTTTTCTCTCTTTTTTTATTTGTTTTTTCCCCTTTTAAAGGTCTCCAGCATATCCTTAATGGCTGTTCTGACCGGCTGTTGTCACAAATTGTTCCAAAAGTCGGGATTGGGTTAAGTTGGTATGTCTTTTATCGATGTAACTTTGTTTTCAATTAGGTTACTAGAATCTTGATTGTCATCTTATTTGTACAGGCGAGTGGATAGCTATTACTGTTTTAGTTGGTTTTAAGTACGAGATTTTTTATTCAATTTGTTAAAATCATGAGTTTGAGGTTTAATTTTGTCCCATATGTCTTTCATTTCTTGCTTATTTTTATTTCTTCCATTATATAATGGCTTTCTTCATATGCATGTCCTTCCTTTTTATCTTAACAGGCCAAATATGTGACTCACTGTAAGTTTACCTTTTTGTTTAATAGGATGTTGCTACTGTTCAACTTTGTTTGTACTTCTAGTATTCTATAGAGGATGAAAACCATATAAGTATCAAAACAATGTTGCTTTTTGAATACCACATCTAATAGCAAACCTTAAGAAGCAATCTGCCTTGAACACTAGCGCAATCAAGGATAGGGGAAAACTGACTACCAATAAGAAGCATAGGCAAAGTAACCTAGACATGGAGCCTCTTACTCTAAATCTAACAGAACGACGAGGAGATAATGTGTTCGATTGTTTCATATCCAACTCAACTAAAGTATTTCTGTGTCACGACCCGACTTCACACTTCTTTAGTCAGGATGACACATACTATAACCCACTAGTAGGTGAGCCAACCCGTACCAAGAACGACAAGTAACGCAACACTCCTTTGCGAATGCGGAAAAGATAGTGATGGCGTTGCCAAAACAGTAGCTTTGCACAACTCAGCTCGGACCTTATTTTGACGATTTCTTTGGCTTTAATACTTCCTATTCCATTGTTTTAAGTGTCCTCAAGAACTTTTGACATGTTGTCTTCATTTGTAGGTGTTTTGAACTATAAATGGATTTCTAAACCAATTCGAATGATCAAGAAATGGCATCGTAAATTGAGGAGGATGATTATTTTTTATGAGAGTTGGTTCCTACCGGTAAAATGTGCCAAAAAATATGATGAGTACTTGGCCCGAAGTGAGAACACGGTTTCATTTTCAATTGGGAATGCCTTCATTTTCTTCATTTTGTTGATTATTTCGGCATACTACGATTGTGCCCTTGACGGACGTACTTTTTTTTCTTTGTTATGGATTGGTGTGCCCTTGTCGAACTTTGATATCGTGGATACTTCTGTTGATATTGTGTTAGATTGGTCTGTTTTAGTTTGTGATTTGTAGTTTGTAGCTTCTTTATTTTTGGTTTGTTAATAAGATTTGCATTGACGATGCCTTATGATGGATAGAGAGCAACGACTTTCTTCAGGGTAAATTGTCGATTGCTTGTGAGTGTTTGATTGGCGTTGATTGTAGCGAAGTCTGAATAGCCGTTCCCGAATAGATTGAGGTTGCTTGATGATGGATTAGTTGACAACTCTCTTAAGGGAATAATCGTCGTATTTTTGGGAAGGTTTTAACTTGGTTGGTACTACGAGCATAGTCATGCATGTGAATAGTGTTGAGCATAGCTCTCCATTTTTAAAAGGTTGAGCATGTTGTGAATGATTTTGTGACAACTCTTACAACTCTTTTTATGACTTTTGATTTGTTAGCGGTTAAAATGTTCAATGCTACTTGAATTCGAAATAAGATTTTGAACCATCTTATTTCTCTCTTTTTTTATTTGTTTTGTTCCCCTGTTAAAGGTCTCCAGCATATCCTTAATGCTGAGAAATATAACATTAACAGTTTCAAAAAAAAAATTGAACAATGCTAAATATTTTTAAGTCCTAAATTACCCACATAAACACCCAGCGAACCCAACGACCTCTTAGTCTAGCTGTGTCGTCCTCGTAGAAGATCGTTTCGAGAATCATCCTAGTGTCCAAATCATATGGCCCTTCTTTCAATTATGTTGAGAATTAGTACGAAATAGAGCCAGCACAAGAGTTTGAATTTCGAATTTGAAATACTTCAAAACCTTATCCGTTTTCCCCCAATCTTTTCAATTCCATTCTTTTCCTATATATACTTCCCTTCCTTCATCGTTTTGGAGAGGTTTTTTGGACACTAATTTACTACCCAAAACAGAGCGAATTTCCATTGAAAGAAAGAGGTTGGTTAGAGAAGAAACAGGAACTGAAATTTATAAAAAAAAGATACAGACAACAGAAGAAATTTAAAGAAAATAGTGTTCCTATAGCTAGGAGATTTGAGTCTTTTGTTGCTGAATTAGAGTTCTTGTCAGAATTGCTCTTGTGGTGGAGTATCATTGCCTTATTCCTCGCTATAAGCTCAATCTTGTGGAATCACTTAGGCGTCATGTTAAGAGTTGCATCTAAGGTAAGTTTTCTCCCCTCCTTTCAACTCAATCTTGGGTAAGTATTTTTGAAATGGTCTCGTTGATATGTGTTAATCACTGCTTAAATTGTTGGACTCTATTTGTTTGTGTGCGGATTAATTAAGTTGAGGGATATATAGTTCATGAGTTTTGGTAGAGATTGGGGGCACAACTTGTGTGAAAATTGTGCCTAAAACGGCTGTCCCCAACATGTTTGTTGAAATGCCCCAACCGTATTTTGAATTCAGGAGAAGATGACTCCGCGAACGTTCCCTCTTGGCCGCGAACTCGGAGGAATCTGATCCCAGATTCTCCGCGAATGCGCCCAATAGTTTGCAAATGAGTTGATTTTAGCAAAAGATAGTTAGCAAAAGAATAGCTTCAATTTGTTGATTGTATAGGTGAGGAGATAGTTGTCGGGGATGTCATATATGGCGGTTCTGACCGGCTGTTGTCACAAGTTGTTCCAAAAGTCGGGATTGGGTTAAGTTGGTATGTCTTTTATCAATGTAACTTTGTTTTCAATTAGGTTACTAGAATCTTGATTGTCATCTTATTTGTAAAGGCGAGTGGATAGCTATTACTGTTTTAGTTGGTTTTAAGTACGAGATTTTTATTCAATTTGTTAAAATCATGAATTTGAGGTTTAATTTTGTCCCATATGTCTTCATTCTTGCTATTTTATTTTTTTTCCATTCTATAATGGCTTCTTCATATGCATGTCCTTCATTTTTATCTTAACATGCCAAATATGTGACTCACTGTAAGTTTACCTTTTTGTTTAATAGGATGTTGCTACTGTTCAACTTTGTTTGTACTTTAATAGAAATTATAGAATTATCTTATCGACGATATACCATTGACATGGAAGTTTTTAATTATTCTTCAAATGCACATAGGATTCATTGGAGTTTACCGGGATAAATGAGGGAGGACTTCTAGGGAAGACTTGCTCTATGGATATTTTGGTATCTCATACTGAGAAATAGTAAGAAATGAACTCTAACATATATCATAATGTATTCTCCTGATTGTTGAACTCCTGGCACAATTTGATGTATCTTCATAGTAATCCTTGATTTCTGTAGGTTTATTTTCTTTTGGCTATCAACAATTCTCGTACAAATATGCAACTAACCACTAATTCCAGCTTGACATGTATGTCTCATTTTCTACTCAAGTTTCACAAAGCTTAATATATATGATCAATAAAATAAAAATATATTCTGTTCTTTTGCTATCTTTCTTCCCTGCTTCATATAAAAATAATAATGTAATCCCTGCTTTATGTAAAAATAAAATAAAATTGAACAATGCTAAAGCTTTTAGGTCCTAAATTACCCACTTAAAAATCCAGCGAACCCAGTGTCCTCTAATCCCAGCCGTGTCGTCCTCGTAGAAGATCGTTACGAGAATCTTCCAAGTGTCAAAATCTACTGACCTTTCTTTCAATTCTGTTAAGAATTGGTACGAAATCGAGCCAACACAAGAGTTTGAATTTCGAATTCCCTTCCTTTAGCATTTTGAAGAGGTTTTTGGCACACTAATTTACTACCCAAAACAGAGGGGATTCCCATCCAAAGAAAGAGGTTGGAGAGACAAGAAACATGAACAGATATTTACAAAAAAATATACAGGCAATATAAATGAAAATTAAAGAAAATAATATTCCTATGGCTTGGAGGTTTTAGTCTTTTGTTGCTGGATTTGAGCTCTTGTTAGAATTCCACTTGTGGTGGAGGAATAACTAGATTCAACTCATCGTCCCAGCTTCGATGTGGTCAACAAAAGGTTTGATCCCTCTCCTAAGCTTGACTTGTTTCTCTTTATTTTGTTTAGTCGATATAGTTGATTTACAGACTGATTTAGCTATTATTTATTTTGATAAATTTCATTTGTTGTCTGATTGTGTAGTTTCTCTTTGTTGTTATTGGCTATAGCTAGTTGGTTGACCTCTAGAGATTTTGGTCTACTTCTTGTTTATATTTGGTTTCATATAAATTAGTCATTGCCTATCTGTGGTGTTGGGCAACAATGCTTGGGTTTGTTTGGGTTTAACACCTCATAAATGATATGTTGTGTCATTCCCCGAGGCTACCCCCTTGACGTAACACGGGACCTAGGATCACGAATGACCCCAAGCTAACCCTGTGTCTGCCATATATCAAGCATACTCAGAATAACTGAATAAAACATGTACTATGCGGAAGCTAAAACAATAGATAACTGAAAATGGGGAAAACCCCAACTAGTCTGAATGTATAAAACATACTAAATGTTTAATAACATGTCACGACCTAGGGATACCCCCTAGATGTAACATGGCGTATAGAACCCCGAAGGACTCTATACAAGACATTTAGCTTTCATAATGATCTTAGGCGTATTTATGCGCCTAATAACCAATTTATCCCATATATATAGCTAAGTTTGAGAGCACTTTCCTAGTCGGAACTGGAATTTTGGAGTCTTTTGATGTCGTTTCCTCTAACCAATATGATTAGATGTTTCAGGGTGAAAAGCAAAGAAGAAAGAGCTAAAAAAGGGCACCTGGACAAAGGTCGGAAAATAGAAGACGAAGTTGCGGAGGAGAATGGCCAAGAAGCTGGAAAATACACTAGGAGGGAGCAGCTCCGCGTCGCGGAGCTGAAATTTGCATGCAGAAAATGAATTCCACTTAACAGTGGAGTGCGTGTCAGGAGCGCGTCGCGGAGGAGACCCTTTTGTGCACAAATTGAGGTGAGGGAACAGGTCCGCGTCACGGACCTGAACACTAGAATTGAGTCATGTGTTTTATTTCAGACTATAATTAGTCTAGGTGTGTTATTTTATCATTATCTAGTTTTTAAAAAAGACGAGAGAACATCAATTTGGGCGATTTTGCTAACACTTTCAGGGTTTTTCTTCTACTCCGTCATTTTGGTAAACCCTTTTATGATCCATAAATATTATTTGATGATATTTTGTTCCATGAGTAGCTAAATTCTCTTAGTCTAGGGTTGTAGCTACGATTAATGGTGTAATAGTATTTGTTTCTAGTATGAGATGGGTTTTCTTGTGATTTATGCTGACATTCTTGTTTAACTATTTTAATGACTGATCAACATTAAAATAAAATCATTGTCTATTCTTGAATTCGGAAGATGAATAAAGGGATAGACCAAAGCATGTTCATTCTAGGGTAAAGTTTAGAATGTTTTGTATATAGGATAGTCTTATACCTATATACCGTGCTTGATTAATATACAAGATGATAGCTTAATGCTCCGCTATTGATTCATGTCTATCCCCACTCAACGATGTAGTTAGGCTGTCGATGGTGGTAGGCGATTAGAGGTCGGGAGAGCATGATCGTAAAATGAACCTTGCAAATCCATAATGAGTTTAACCTGTCGAATGCTAGGATAAATTAATATTATACCGAAAATCGATTTATGCTGCAACCCTGGAATACTTTCCCAAATTGTGAAATTCTCTTGTTTGAAACTGTTTGATTGTAGTAATTAATTTTTGAGATTGTTCAACTTAGTAGATATAAACAAATTTCTAAAATTGTATGTCGCATAAGTAAATTTATTTTAGACATAATAGAGTTGTTATTTGTTGATTTGAAGTCCTTTGGGTTCGATAATCCGGCTCGAAAGAGTCGATGTACTACTTGAGTAACCGCGTGCACTTGCGTCTGCTTTTGGACGCAACACATAACATAAGAAATAGAACAATATAGAGTAAAACAATCATTTTAAGTCCAAAATAGTTTTATAGAAAAGCGAAAGTCTAAACTCATGTCTCATCATAACCATCTATTACAATCGAATGAAAATTTGGCCTAGCCCATACATCATGTCCAAAAGGAAATGCAAGAGAGAAACTAGAATGGAAGTAATCCGTCCTCGGACTATGAGGACTCACCAAGCTCGGGGAAGAATCAAGTCCAAGCTCTAGCTAATATAATGGGAACCCTGCCTGTCGGACCCTACATTAGAAAAAATGTAGGCAGAGTATGCGTTAGTAAGAAAATACACTAAGTATGATAGCTTTGCATAAAATTATTTAAAACATGTTAAGGACATTTTATTTCATGACATACAATTCACCAAGTAAAACATGATATAAGAAGGTTAGAAAGCATAATTCATAACATCATGGTCAATGCAAGCTAAATCATCATTTAAAACCTTTACACGTATGAGATACTCCTTGAGTAACCTTAGTTCACTTTTAGTCTTCTTGTGGAAAAATTAGCCTTAATCGACATAGAGACCATGTGAGCTAAAACATGATCACCCGGTGTCTCCCACACCGAAAAAGGGTGTTCTACTTGCCTAAGGTAGAACCATGAACTTCTAGCTCAAATGAACCCACTATCTAATCAACCTATGGGGGCACATAGTTAAGGGATAAGGTGATTGCTATTAGAAACCCGACCTCTACTAACGGGAGAGCTTCCATCTCATGAAACTTCTTATAGAAGCCAGGCCTCTAATAATGGGAGAGATTCCATCTCAATGTCAATATCCACTCGGTGCTAAGCATAATTCCCACAGAATAATATTTTCTTACTTAATCTCATCAATGGAAAGACATGTCATCTTGTCAATCCAAGCTAGTTTATTATGATAGCTCATGTTCATTTATTCAATTAGGTGAGAATAGCCTTCCAACCTAAGAATCTTTTCTATATGAGAAAACTTTTCACTTCATGCTAGTATGTGTTCATGAGAATAGCCTTTAACAACACAACATAAAACATCATCATTTAGCACGTTACTCTCAAAGCACCCTTAACATTCACATAGGTTTCATAAGATCATTCATACTCATACTTTGCCCTTCCAAGGTTCAAAGCTTACTTTCAATCCACAAATCTAGAAATCATGGTTTAGATAGCGATTTTATCATAGATTCATGTAATTTTATTACTTCGTGTTTTATATCATAAAACTCCTCTTTCATAATCAACAACCCACATTATGATATCACAATTTGGGAAACATGGGGGTTTGCATGGGTTCATAGGGGAAGCATCATAAAAGCATTGTAAATCATCAATTCATGCATATTTAAACATAATTAAATCATTAAGATCAATAATCAAAATAACCCATTGTGATTGAAGAAAACCCTAGCTAATTGGGGAATTCTACCTTTTGAAATAGAGGAATTTGAGGACTCCATGAATGAAAGAGATTCATGGATGAAAACTATCATACCTCAAGTCCAAATTCTAGCCTTCAATGGAGAAATTGAACCCTTAGCTTGAAAACCTAGGTTGAATCTTCTTCTTCTTCTTCAATTTCTAGAGAGAGAATATTTTGAGAGGAAGCTTTGGTTCCTTTTGGGGAATTTGGAAGAATGAATTAAATGGGGTGAATTTGGGGGTAAAAAGTTTTATATAGGGGGTTCTAAATGTAGGCAAAACGACATAGTATAGGAATTAATTAATTACGAAAAGACCCAACTACCCCTGAAACTTAACTGGCAGCCCTGACCCACGACTCACCACCGACGGACCGTGGATGGACCAATGGTCCGTCCTGCACACTCGTGGTCCATGGTCAGAGACTTTTTCCTGGACCAATGGCTACTGGACCACGGGGCGTGGTCCCATTGTGGTCTATGGCCTAAAAATTTTTGGGTGGCCCTCTCCACAGGCCCACATACGGCTCGTGGCTCGACCCACGACCCGTGGTTGGGTCCTCGTGGATGGCACCTGTAACTGCTGAAATTTGGTAGGCTTCCCTCTATCGAGTCTGGGGTGTTACAATATCTCCCCCTTGGGATCATTCGTCCTCGAATGAGATCCAAACTGGTTAAAAAAGAGTAGCTGAGGAACTAACAACCCAACCTACGATGCAATGCATACAACCAAGGAGGATCTATTGACTCCAAGCTAGGACATTCTCAAAACATCATAAGAGGGGTGAACTTACTCTATCAGCCCATTATGCATGCAATGCACATAAATAAGGAGGAAACATCAACTCCAAACTCAACATACTCAAATGCAACATAAGGAAGTAGGAACTACATCTAGCAACCCAAAATGCATGAATTCTCAAAACTTCTCGACACTTCTCATGTTCAAGGAGGAACTACCTTCTCCAATCTAATAGCATGCTCAACACAATCTCATGGAGCCCTTATGCAATTCATTCACAAAAGCATATGTAATGCATGTTCAACAATCATCTCATGAAGCATATAGGCAACTCATACTCAATGCACAAACAACAAGAGGAAAATAAATCATATAAGCCATTTCTTTCAAAATTTAAGCTTTCTCATGAACATGCATAACATAAGGAAATCATGGAAACACGTAAACACACATGACTCCCAAAACATAGAACAAACCAAGAGGAACTTATTACCTTAAGCTAGAGTAGGAGTAGAAGGAAACAAATAAGGATATCGGGACATCATATCGGCCTCGGCCTTCCAAGTAGCACCCTCAACTAAATGATTCCTCCATAAAACCTTCACGGAAGCTACTTCCTTGTTTCTCAACTTCTTGACTTGCCAGTCTAAAATCTCAATCGGAACCTCTTCATAAGAAAGATTTTCTTTAACTTCCAAACCCTGAAAGGAAACTATGGATGTTGGATCCTCGACCCATTTCTTTAACATGGAGACATGGAAAGCTGGATGCACCG